AGCGGGGGTTGTTGCGCCTGGCGTGGTCAGGCCGCACCAGGGTCTTGCACCGATTTAAGAGTAGTTCACTACTGCAATAAAAAGAAGAGAATTCTAATTGACGATTCCAATTTGTTTTGAATTTTGCAGCCTGTGATGGGGTCGGCTCGTCAGGGGCGTTGACAGGTTGGTGTTAGTTGAGCAGATCATAACATGCCGTACCAACTGCTAGCAGGCAGTTCAGCAAACCCGACGTTGATTTGATTTGCTTTCCGCGAACTGCCAACGGACCAAAGTCATGGCAGGGTATGCGCTTTAGTTTGGGTAAAATGAGCTTGTGGTAAGGTGTGTGTTTTTAACAGGACGAAAGTTTCAGTTTGAGAAAGGCCTGGTATCTTGCCGATTAGCAGCACAAGTTAGTGTGCTAGCCGGCACAGGTTCAAGCCTCACCTCTACCAATTAAATTTGAGCATAGTTCTTCCTATGCTCAACTCATTTTGTATGTGCTTCTATCTATGGCGTGTGGAGCCACGGGCATATGTGGACTCTGGTCTCTGGGTGCAGCTGATGGGAGATAGCATGAGTTATGTTCAATCGATATGAATGGCAGTCCAGTAGTCTTATTGGCATCTAATTAATTGTCTGTAGTAATAGCATCGGTGAAGCTTGAGGCGTCATGTAATCTTATTATCACCTGATTTTTTCTGGCCTCACCCTATACCTGGTTTGTACATGTTCTGGTGTGAGATGTTTGGATCCTAAAACTTTAAATTAATACTCCCTTCATCCCAGAATAAATGTTTTGAGCTTAGTACAACTTTATACTAAAGTTAGTACAAAGTTGAGACACTTTATTTTAAGACGGAGGGAATATAAAGTTGCCGTGCATCAATTGATTCAAAGGCCACGGTTCTATTTTCTTCTTCTTCAAAGCATCAAAGAGACATTCCTCAAATTCTATTCAATGGACAAAGCCCACCAACCATTTGCTTCCCTCAAAGGCCTCCAACAAACCACGTGGTGGTCCTTCTTCCAACTCCCTCCCAAAATAATTTAGCCCTCAAAGGATCCACATTCTCGAAACAGGCTCCTGCCCACTTTTACATATAAAGCACCGAACCAAATGGTACACAGCCAAACGATACAAAATGGTGATGTAGCTCTCTTACAAAGCAGATCTTAGGATACTCGGACCACGTAGAATGCAGGCGACTACGCTACCGACAGAGAACACATGACAATCTAAGTACAACGCGACGCTACAACCTAAGACACCTAAGCTCCTCGATGACACCCTCAAGAGAGAACACATTGCAAAGCATCGTCGCTGCCTAGCCACACTGGACTAGGATCTTCACCCGAAACTTTGGCGCAGACAGAAGATCCACGACCACGTCTTCAAGAAGATAGCGGCGCCAGTGAGCGTTGTCGTCACCGGCGCAAACACACAAACCTTTAGCTCGGCACCTCACGTGTGTCACCACGAGGTCACTAGAGCAAGCACGATGTGCTTAGACCCCCAGATCCAGATCTCGGTGACGCAAAACAGAGGACATGCACGAGCCACCAATTGCTACCCCTCTCATTGCCCACACGACCAGAGAAAAGAGAAAAACAAAAAAATTGAAGGAAAAAGGAAAACCAGTTGTGGAACCTTCTAGAAGGTTCCCAAAACCCGTAAAAACCGGCTGGGGATCCTCTAGCTGGAACCTGAAACATGTACGTACCCTATAGATGGGCCGGCCCAAATCGCTTGCTTGGTCGTCCCACCTGTGCGATTCGCCGACTGTTTGACGCAGAACGCGTGAAATAAGGTTTTCCCTACACCTGTACCCACTGGCGGAGTGTTGAAGAGCTCCTCGCCGGCGCCTTATGCGCCAGTTGAGGAAACCAGTGCCCGCGCGCCTAGCTATGTGGTCCGGCACAAGAACGAGCCGACGAGTTCACGCATGATACGCGCTTCCCGAGCTTTCTCTGCTCGATCGTTTCATGGTTGACTTTCGAACAAAAAAAATCCAAAATTTCAGAAAATAGAATTCCAAAATGGAATGCTCATGGATTCTAAAAAGTTCACGGATTTAAAAAAAATCATCAAACTTTAAAAAAATTCCATGAATTTCCAAAAAGTTCACCGATTTTAAAAAGTTCATGAATTATAAAAAAAGTTCATACTTTTTTAAAAAGTTTATAATATTTTGAAAAAGTTCATTGAATTTGAAAACAGTACATCAATTTGAATAAAGTTCAGAGATTTTGCAAAAACAATCATGACTTTGAAAACAATTCATCGATTTTGAAAAAAGTTCATCCACTTTCAAGAAAAAGTTCATAAATCAGAAAAAAGTTCATCTACTTTCAGTAAAAATGTTCACAGACTTCTTTCGGAAATGTTTTTCACGAATTTGAAAAAGAAAGAAAAACTGAACAGAGAAAAAAAAAGGAAGAAAGAAGAGGACGAAGAAAAGGCAAAACAACCCACCATGTGAACACATGAGGTTAGTTGGTTGCGTGGTTATGGCGTACTAATGTGTATTTTCAAACGGGCGCCTGCAACACACCTAGCTGGGCCGGGCCATTTCTATGTTTTCTTTGTCCTGTTTCTAGTCACGTAAAAAAAGGTGTTGTAACCAGGGTTCGGAACTTGTGACTCTATTGTTGCAACGGCTATGACCTAACCACCACGCCATCGCCCCGCATTTGCAGTGGTACCTCGCTTTTGTCTTTTATATGTTCTCCAGTTCTATTTTTTCTTATCATTTTTTGTAATGTGTGGTTTTTATAAATTTGTGTACCTTTTTTTCTAAATTGATGCACTTTTTGAAATTTAGATGATTTCTTTCCAAATTTGATGAACAATTCCCAAATATGATGGACTTTTTTCAAAATCATGACCTTTTTTCATAGTCGATGAATATTTTCAAATTTGTGAACTTTTTCAATAATTGATGAACTTTTTTGAGAAAATTGCGAAAAAAAATTCAAACCCGATGATTTTCCTGTAATGGATGTACTTTTCTAAATTTATATGAACTTTTTTTCAAAATCGATGAATGTTTTCTCAAATGGATGAACCTTTTTTCATAATCGACGAACTTTTTCCATGTTTTCAAATTTAAACAAAATTTGATGATCTTATTTCAAATTATATGAACTTTTTTCAAAATCCATGAATTCCTTTTCAATTTCGATGAACTATTTTCAGATTTGATAAACTTTTTCAAAACCGATGAACTTTTTGTCAAATCGGATGAACTTTTTTTAATTGCTCGAACTTTTTTTCAAATTGGATGAACTATTTTTCAAACTCGGTGAACTTTTTTTTAATTACGAAGAACTATTATCAAATTGGATGAATTTTTTTCAAATTCGACGAATATTTTCAAATTTGATGAACTTTTTTCAAATTGGTGAACTTATTTCGAAATTTCATGACTTATTTCAATTTTGTGAAGTTTTCTCAAATTTATGAACTCTTTTGAACTTGTACGAATCTTTTTAATTTTTTGACAATTTGTGTTTTACAAAAGTTCCTTGAATTTATTTTCAAAGTTTACGTTTCTTTTCATATAATTTATATAAGGTATTTATAATAGTATATCTTAATGTTGTACTAGGAGAATCTCAAATAGAGCCCTTCCCTGAGATTTGTCTTGACGGGGTGGTCGGTCTAGTGTTTATTGCGACTTGCGTTTGTTGTTGGCGAGAGGAGCTAGCTACTGAGTACGGCCTAATTGCAGAGTCAATTTTAAATTACAATGTAGAGCGATATATATGTTTTTTATCTCAAAAATTTCCAGCAATTCTAGGAAAGAAAATGTGAATGATTTTCCATAAAATATTTGAATCATGTTTGAAAATCTTGAATAAATTTTGAAATTGGAGCAAAATTTAAAAACATGACAAATTTTGAAAACATGACTTTTTTTTGACATTTCCAAACCATTACTGATTTTTGATTTACGATGAGTAGTGTTTCAAATATACATTGGACATATACGTGGAATAGTTTGAAAATACAAATTGAACATTTTTGTGAGATACGCTGAATAATATTTAAATACAGGTGGAACAGATTATTAATATGTATTTATCATTTTTGTAATATATGTGGAACCATTTTTTAATGCACATTGAGCATTTTTGTGATTATGCGTTGAACAATATTTAAATTTACGTTGTGGGGACAATTCTGGGCTGTGGTTATTTGTGGCCCAGGTTAGATGCTGGATGTAGGGAGGAGCCGAGCGCTACGTTGGTTCATAGGAGGATCAGCGCGTGACGAGCAATGCTTCGTTGACCCATCCCCGTTCCCCAGGTCGCCCGCCCATGTGAGTGACTGCTGCCACTTCCAGGTCTTCTTCCTGCTTCCTCCTCTCAACTGCTCCTCCCCGTCTCCACTCCACTAGTCCCCTGCTACTCCCCTAACCCCCTGAGCAACTGCTCGAGTCCCCTCCCAATCTAGTCCCCAAATCCAGATCTCCTTACTCAGATCGTTTCTCAAATCAAGCAGTCGCAAGTGAGTATAAGTGGATCTGCAGGCTGTAGCTGCAAATTCGTGAGGGGTGGCGATTTAGTCTTCAAGTTGCAAGCTGGGAGCAACGATTCGAAAAGCTACTGTAACAGGTACGTATGCCACATGTGGATTTAAAATTTGCCATTCTATCTTGACATGTAAATTGCAGACCACCTTTAATTCTTTACTAGTAGTTTAGATTGCGTTCACTGACACTGCGAAACAAGCGAGCTGGATCTAAGCTGCTGCTAGCGAAGAAAAAATCCAGGTTCCACCACCGGATCCCCGTCAATAGGTACGACCCCATCTGCTCCTGCCCTGCTTCCATCTCTCTCGTATGCTGCCGGCTGGGCCGGTTTGTAGCTTTTCCAGTGCAGTAATACTTGGGCTTACTCCGATTAATCCTTCTTTTCATAGCGTAGATTGACGACGCAAATTTAGCTGTTCGCTGTCAGTTCAGTGGACGACCTGACCTCCACGTAGAATTGACAGGGCGAGCACAGAGCCCATGGAGGGTGCTCTGGTGAGTGTGGCGACGGGGACCCTGAAACCCGTCCTGGGGAAGCTGGCTTCTCTGATGGGCGACGAGTACAAGCGTCTCAAGGGGGTGCGCGGCGAGATCAAGTTTCTGACCGATGAGCTTACTGCCATGCATGCCTTTCTCCTGAAGATGTCAGAGGAGGAGGATCCTGATGTACAGGAAAAAGTTTGGATGAATGAGGTGCGCGAGCTGTCCTACGGCATGGAGGACTCCATCGATGACTTCATGAAACATGTAGATGACAATGACACAAAGCCAAGCAGCTTCATGGAGAAGATCAAGAACTTGTTGGGGAAGATGAAGACTCGCCATCGGATTGCAAACGAGATCCTAGATTTGAAGAAACGTATTATCGAGGTGGGTGAGAGGACTGCAAGGTACAAAACTCGTGATGCCTTCTCCAAAACCGTCAATGTGACCGTTGACCCTAGAGCTCTTGCTATCTTTGAGCATGCCTCAATGCTCGTTGGAATGGATGAACCGAAGGCAGAGCTAATCAAACTCTTGACTGAAGAGGATGGATGTGCATCGACACAACATCAACAAGTGAAGATGGTCTCTGTCGTTGGATCTGGAGGAATGGGCAAGACAACTCTTGCAAACCAAGTGTATCAAGAGCTCAAAGGCAAACTCAAGTGTCGGGCTTTCGTGTCAGTGTCACGAAATCCAGACATCATTAATATTCTAAGAACTATTCTTGGTGAAGTTACCGGGCAACTTTATACTGATACAGAAGGAGGGAGTGTACAACAACTCCTCGCCAATATCTCCAACTTCCTTGTAGACAACAGGTACTATCTCTACTCCTTTTTTTGCTTCTCGCCCTCAAATGTATACAATAAGTTATTTGGATGTGTCTCATGAAAATTATAAACGTAAAATAGTCATTAGAATTGTTTTCTTGATATAATTATATTTTAATTTTGAATATTCTGCAAGAAAAGGTAATGGTTAGATGTTTGTATTGTTGATGTTCAAACAACAAGTAAAATAGAATGGTGAGACCTTGTGATTATATCGACAACCAATCCTAAGAATCTTCCCTAATTGTATGATTTCCATGACATAGCCACTCAATTTTTAATCTCCTGATCTTTGGATTTGCATGCACGCACATGGATTCTTGGTTCGGGTCAGTGACACTACTATTTGATCATCATGTCCTGATCATGCATCTCCTGAACATATATACTAAAAAACACTGATATGGGGACACGGACATGATGATACATAATCTCCCATAAGCTGTCATTTGTATTATAATTTCCATGAGCCCCAGTTGAGTATTAATATGCCTTTTGTATTATATCCAAAACATGACCGCTCCATTTCAAGTCACCCTATGACACATACGAGTTTTCGATCGTCACGTCTTGATCCATCATCCATGCATCTTTTCAACATATATTCTCTCTGGTCTCTAGAAGTGGTTTTACATATAGATAGAGTCAACTTTCAAAACTCTGACTACCAATCTCTTTTAGAATATTTAGATTACAAACTTGAAATTCATTTGTGCATTAGTCCAAAAAATGCTTTCATAATATTTAAATTTCAAGTTCAGTTAATATATTAAAATATAGAGGGCAATGTTGTATTTTGGATAATGTGCCAATGCTAAAAATGTTGTCTTTTTTGAGAATAAAAAACTGTAATATAAATTAACTTTCCCATCTTAATCGTGTACACGCTTATATCGTTTTGAGGTTCCTAGAGTTCTCAAAATGTTATAAAACAAGCTCATGAATGTCGTGTGTTATAGAACATGTGAACCTACAAACTTTCTTTTAAAAATTCCTGCATTATGACCCCAAAATTTTCATTGTTTTTGTTTAAGATATAAATGGTCATATTTTTAGATAAAATTATGCAGGTTCACGTGATATGGCGTACACAATGTTTGTGATTTTTTATTAACTTCTAATTTTTTAGTGTAGCTAAAAACAAGATGAGAGCTTGCGCTCTTGAGAGTAAAAATGAGCAATATCGTGGTCTTTTATCTCTATGCTCTGTGTAATTAATGTACCAAATTAGCTTCTATTATTGTATCAGTCGAGTTAATAATTTATGTCATTTTAACACCCGTGTCAGCTTTCTCATTTGTCATTTGAATATTGTTAACGAGAAAACAAGTGCTCCTTTTATTTTTCTTTTTCTTTTGGTGCTTGTGCTATATAAACGTCATGCTAATATCTCATAAATCCATGTGCAGCTACTTTATTGTTGTTGACGATATATGGAAGAAGCAAACATGGGATGTTATTAAGTACGCATTCCCCATGGCCAGTTGTGGCATAATAATCACCACTACTCGTGTGAAAGATGTCGCTAATTCATGTCAAGCATCATTCGGTGGCCATATTTATAATATAAGGCCTCTTGATATTGTTCATTCAAGACAGTTATTTCACGGAAGACTATTTAACTCCAAAGAAAATTGCCCTCCACACCTTAAAGAAGTTTCTGATCAAATCTTGAAAAAATGTGATGGGTTACCTTTGGCGATCATCGCTATATCTGGTTTGTTGGCTAACACGGAAAGAAGAGAGGGCCTATGGAACCAAGTGAAAGATTCAATTGGCCGTGCACTTGAAAGAAATTCTAGCGTTGAAGGAATGATGAAGATATTGTCACTTAGTTATTTTGATCTGCCTCCACATCTGAAGACGTGTCTCTTATATGTGAGTATATTTCCGGAGGATTCTTTTATTGAGAAGAATGATATCATAAGTAGGTGGATAGGTGAAGAATTCATTCACAAAGAAGGCAGATATACATCACATGAGATAGGAGAAAGGTGTTTTAATGAGCTCCTTAATAGGGGTTTGATTCAACCGGGGAAGACAAATGAATATGGTGAGCTAGAGAGTTGCCAAGTTCATGACACAATTCTTGATTTCATCATATCCAAGTCCATAGAAGAGAACTTTGTTACTTTACTAGGTGTTCCCATTCTGACAATTGGGACACAAAGCAAAGTCGTTCGTCGACTCGTTCTACAAGGAGTTAATCAAGGAAATTCAACAATACAGCCAGCAGGTTTGGTGTTGTCCCATGTACGATCACTGAGTGTGTTTGGAGGTTTTGTGGAAATCCCTTCTCTGGAGGAATTCAAACATCTGCGTGTTCTCAACTTGAGCCATTACCAATCATTGGAAGAGCGTCATCTTGAAAATATAGTGAGGTTGCCCCAGCTAAGGTACCTGAACGTCAAAAATACAGAAATAAGGAAGCTCCCAGAACAAATCGGGCGTTTAAGTTGCCTAGAGTTGCTGGACCTAAGACACACTTGTGTAGAGGAATTACCAGCATCTGTTGTTAATCTCAAAAAAATTGACCCATCTTCTTGTTGACTATGGTGTTAAATTTCCTGATGGAATTGAAGAGATGCAAGCATTGGAGACATTGAAAGAGGTCAGGTTCTCTAGGCAACCATTTGGCTTCCTGTCCGGCCTTGGCCAACTAAAGAATTTGAGGAATCTGGTTCTTTTCTTTGGTTTCGAAGAGTATTCTGACACTAAGGGTACAAATATGGTTGAAGGGGAGTGCATCAAATCTATCATCTCTTCCCTGTGTAAACTAGGCACCCAGGACCTTCGCTCTCTAACTATTTGGGATTGGAGCAGCCTCTTACAAGAACCTTTGTGCCCACTTACCCTCGATAAACTTATTAACTTCTCTTTAGGCACCCCACAGGTTCCGAAATGGGTGAGCTCCCTCAGAAACCTCCAGGAGATACACCTTCTAGTGGATGAAGTCAAGCAGGATGATCTCTGCATCCTTGGGGCCTTACCCACTCTGCTCATTCTGCATCTGGAGGAAGAAACAATGTCAAACAAAAAATTCAGAATCAGTGGTGAAGTTGGGTTCCAATTCTTGAGGATTTTTATTTACGAGGCAAATCCTCACCTGGTAGATCTGATGTTTGCAGCAGGATCCATGCCCAAGCTAGAAAAACTCGTGCTTTCTTTCCGCATAGTAGCTGGCTCTCTGGACTTTGGAATCAAGAACCTCCCCTGCCTCGATACGGTCAAATGTAGTACAAATGACGACGATGGCATTTTTAGAGCCATACAGACTGCCATGGAGAGAGCAGCCAGCACACACCCCAATCACCCTAGTTTACTCTTTTGGAAAGATGTCAGATTTTATTTGTCTGGAAGGCCCAGCTTTGATTAAACAAGCCTAAGAACCAGGAACGGGGGAGTTGCCTCTCCTCATCCGGCCAGCCGATTATCATGTTTAAGAGTATTCAGCTCCATACTTCTCTCCTTTATGATACGCCAGCACACTTTACTCTCTCTGTTGGATAATGTATTATCTATGACATGCATGTTTTTCATATTTTACATATGGCGACATGTGGAGTCCGTGTGATACAATATTGTTGAATTCGTGCTTGAATAAAGCATTTTCATGTGGTTGTGATTCCCTGAGTATGAACAAAGCTTTCTACAGGAAGTTTATGGTAAAAGCTCAACTTGGAAAAATATGGACACGCCTTGCATGATTCAGCTGATGGAGTGTTGTCTTGTCTTAACAAAAGTTACTACTAGCTTATTAAGCTGCTGTTTCTCCTTGATTGGCTCCTTTTTTTCCCATCACATTTATGCAGTAAAATGTTATGCTACTAGACGAAATAACAAAAGTGTGTCCACCTAGGGGAAATACACTTTGGTTCCTGGTTGTATATACACCCTATGTGAGGAGTTTTTTTAATAATTAAACAAAAAGTCAAAATAGTTCAGAAGTTTTTTTAGAATAAACTTGACTTACTTTTGCACGACAATTTTTTTTGCTATTATAGGTCACTATTCACACTATTTTGGCCAAAATTTTGTCCTTTTTGAAAAGAAGTCAAAGGGGGTTTTCTTTTTGTGAATCTTTTCTCACAAGTACAATGTAAGGACAAGTTTATTTCAAAAATATTTTTAGAAATTTTTGACTTTTTGTTGAAATACTAAAAAAAATCCATATAAGGTGTATATGTCCTCATAGACCAAAAGTTCCCTCCGTCCACCTAGTCTTCAACTCACGACCAAAGGTAATCACAAAAGCAGCCCCTAGCCACTACAACATGCACCTGTACAAGATTACCATGGATAACTAGTCTTAGAGCCTGTTTGGATCCCCTCCACTCCCTTAAATTCTTTACTCCGCTCCCTGCTCCTATACTGTTGGCTCCACGTGCAAAAGCAGGAGTAGATTTCATGTTTGGCTGTTGACTCCACTCCATATGGTCACGGGAGGGGTTTGCTATCCACGGGAGAATAATTATTTTATCAGCCAACCTATCAGTTGCGGGAGTCACACGCGGAGCTCAGCTTTTGCCACTCCGCCAGATTGCACTACGGCCGGCTCTGCTCCACTCCTCTGACTCCACGGAGCTGTGGCGTTCGGCGCCGCTCCGGCAGCTCCGGGAGTGGAGTTGCGGAGTGGAGCAGATCCGAACAGGGCCTTATTGTACCAGAACAAAGGCGCTAAATGAGCCATGGCCAGTGCCGCCCGTTTTGCACATGTGCGTTTTTTTAGAAATTTGCAGATAGTATGTAAATTATAATTTCAGTTGTAAAAATAATCTTTAAATATTCTGTGTTATAATTACTGTACATACAGACGAAATAAACTACTTTTAAATTTGTTCATGAATTATTTTAAAAATATTCCTACATTTCAAATAATATGTATGAATTATAAAAAAATTATGTACAATTAAAAAATCCATAATTTGTTTCATAACATTATGAAGTTATAAAAGGTTCAGAACGTTAAATCTTTGTTCTCATTCCATAACTAGTTCAGATTTAAAAAAAATGTTCCATTTTTCCTTTCTGTTTTTCAAAATTGTTAGGGATTTTCCAACAAAAATTACATTTTCAAAATGTTCCAAATACGAAAAATATTCTTGTTTTGGTGAAATGTTTGCATATTCAGAATAATATCCGAGTGTAAAGAAAAACATTTTAAAAAATTGTTCCGAATCTTCAACATATGTTTCCTTTTTCAAAAAAATGTCATAAATTTAAAAAGGTTCATGTTATTATAAAAGGTTTACGTTTTTCATATAAAATGTGAACTTTGAACGTTTCAAATTTTGTTGTGTATTTCTGAAAATGTCAAGATTTTTTTTTGAGATTTTAAAAAATATTCATGTTTCCAATAATATTATGCAATTTATATTTTTTTAAGTTCAAAATAAAAAAATGTTTCAATTCTGACTTTGTAATATGTTCTTAAAGGTTTTCGTTGGCCATTGGTTAGTAGAACTCGTTTCTTCGAGTGGCTAGCAACACGTAGTCGGGCCTTTGAGGGCATGATTTCGATCCTTTAACTCATTTTTTTTGGAATTTTTTTGCGTCTTACAAATACAGGTCGTCTTGGAGCCTACAAGTGTGCTGGCCCATACATGAACTGATGTGCGTCCACGTGCTATTTTACGCAACTAGCGTCATACAGTAGCCCACATGCAGTTGGCCCAAGAAAAAAATGCTCTGTCGCACAGCCAGTATTGGGCCTCACGCACTCACATACTGGATTGTTCAAGGGAGCAATTTTTTTTCTTGGGCCAATAAAATAGAATATGTTGGTTTGGCTCGAATAAGAAAATTGTGGGCACGTGAGCGCTAAAATAATAAAAAAGAATAAACCCTAATGAAGAATGGACATTAATCTCTGGTTATGCGCTAAATATGCTAATGAAACGGGATTTACGTCCTAAATCCAGCTGGTTACACCATTGTAATACAAAGTGGTTGAAGCAACCGTGTCCCGAAGGTCACCGCATAGCTACCAAATGAGGAGGCAGACACAACCCGGAGACAGAGGCGGACCCGGAGGACAAAAAGGCACGAGTTGTATGGCTGCCGCCACACCGACTAACCCCACCACTATCAAGATCTCGCGGGACAAACATGACCCGCGAGAAAACCACAACTTATCTCTCTACCGCATCGCCATGGAGATTTTTTTGGTGAACACATCAATTAACTCTCCCATTGCTTCTCGCAAAGAAATATCTCTCCCGTTGCAACACACGGGCATATGTGCTAGTTTCCTATAATTTAAATAATCCTTGAGTGTATATTTTGTTACGGGTTCATTAAACATATTTATTTAACAAATATTTTCAATGTTCATATTAACTAAATATTTTTTATATAATATACAGATTTAATTAAATACTTTTATTTACAAATGATTGTTTGTATGTACTAGTAAGCATGCACGTGCGACGCACGTCTATTACCACAAACTACATAGGAAGATGGAAAACACTTCTAATCTACCAATTACGTCGTGAGCCGCGCACCCCCGGTCGCGAGCCCTCGCGTCCTCTTTTTTACTTTCTCTCATCTCTCTTTTTTCACTTTTTTACTCAAAAAACTTTGTCCACACGCAACTCCTTCCTTTCTTTTCTTCTTCTCCCTAGCGCCGGATTGCCGGTCAACCCATCAGCTACAACTTCGCCATGCATGCTCAACCTTGCGTCTCCCGCTCCATCCACCACAGGGCCATTGACAGCTCCTAGCAGTCCACCTCCTATTTGTGTTACACTGCTCATTTCCTCTGCAAAGAACAAGCGACCCATTAAGTACATCGCTAGCACACATCACTTTCTTCTGTCATTAGTTAAATGAAATGAGGTTTCAAATTTGAAGACACAATCAAGATAAATGCAAAATAAAGTCTACTAAACAGGGTACATTAAGTGAGCTTAATAAGAACCAATTCTTGCCAACTGGCTTTGCTTCCACCATGTGACATTGAAGTATCGATCGTACTATCTACATTCCATTGGAACAACTACAAGGGAAGGAAAAAACATTAAACATCATAACCAGAACAAAGTGAGGTTACGTTAAAGTACAGTAAGAAAACAGTCCAGGTTTATCGTGCTAGTGTGTGGACCTTCTAAAGCTTGGAGTGGCGCTACATTCCTATGTCTTTCATGAGCATGTTATCAGCTTTGATGAGCATCTTATCAGCCTAGTCGTGCAAGAAAAGAAAAATCAAGTGGCATTACATGAGGAAATTGTTGTAGATTTGAAATAAGTATTTTCTTGGACGAACATGTATTGTGTTTGTAAATTATCCAGAACAAAAATAACCTACTAATGAGCTTAGAACAAACGATCAAGTGTCTTAAGTCCTGAATAGAAGAAAGCTCCCCGGCATGCAATGTTCGGGAGTTCATATGCATATATTTTGGCATCCTGATGGAGGCGTTTCATGAGTAGTCTTGTGTCACCTTACCGTGGAAGTGCACTTTGCACTGTCAGGTGTTTTTTTCCTCTGCCCCCTTAGAGCTCTTTATAGATTTTTGTTGAAATCTTAATACTCCTGAAACTGCTAC